AAGATCCAGGCATTCCACTGAATTAAGATATCTGCTCTCCCAATTGAAGCCTCCCATGACATAAACCTTATTCCCAGATATAACTGCTGCACATTCTGCTCTCTTGTGCTTCATGTTGGGCAACTGTCGGCATTTAGACTTTTTATAATTGTATGCCAAAGCCAAATTTAAAATTTCATTCTTTTGATTTCTACCACCAATGATGATGACTTCATCTCCATGCTTGACAGTTGTCATGTCCATGACTGGAAAAGGTAAGGCTTGAACTTTTCGGATTCTGTTCTGCACTGTACTGTATAGAGAAACATGGCTAACTGCATCTTGATGATAACCAGTTGTAGAACCACCAAGGATTAAAATATTACTACCAACAACTTCTGAGCCATGGTAGGCAAGCGGCTCCTGCAACTTGCACTTGAGCTTTGAAGTGTATGGTGGATTAAGCATCATCTCGTGAATGGAATCGGAACATGGTTGTTTAACCAGCATTCCTCCAATAACCCATAGTCGATCATTGTGGATGACTGAGTTGTGGCCATGGCATTTGACTGGAAGACGACGTGCAAAAGGAAGCCACTGTCCTTGTCTGATGTTCATGTACTCTATGCTCCCTACAGGTGACCCATTGCAATGCCCACCTGTGACAAAAACTTTGCCTTCATAATAGTGTGCAGTTGAGGAGACTCTGGATTCTTGTGTTGGTGCAAGATTTATCCAGGTCTTTTTGCTAGTGGAATACATTTCAACAGAACTTAATGAAATCTTATTGTTCCCACCCAATATCATAATATTCTTGTCAGTTTCTGCACTGCTTGAACTCGTGGCTTGGGCTTGTGGAGGAGATAGTCCTTGATCTTTACCTGAGCCTTTTTTAGAACTGAGAAGATGAATCTCCTTCAGTAATTCATCCATCTTACTGTCTAGAGCATGTTGTATTTCATTTAATTTTTCATTTTGATTCTTGCAGATTTTGGTGACTTCATCTTTCACTTCTAACAACATTGCTTTCATTTCATCAATTTCTTTACTCAATATACATGTATGTTTACCATATTTCTTAACAGACATTTCCTCATCACATTCCTGACACCAAATCAGTCTATACTCGCAATGCTCTATCCTGTGTTGTTCTAGGTCTTTCATGTTTACTGTTGTCTCACATCTTTTATTAGGGCAAGTCACAGGTCTATAACCACACATTGGAGTATGATTGGCAAGATTTCCAAGTTCCAGGAACTCAGTGCAACCTCTCTCACTATAATCACAATTGATTATCAATCCATCTAAATAATCTGTTACGATTCTTGGTGGTTTATTTAGATTCTCCTCCGTCAGTTTTTCAACACATATAGGGCACGTCTTAGAATTCTCGAGATGTTTTGTGATACATGCTTTACAGAAGTAGTGTTGGTTGTGGCATTGCACTGGATCTTTTAGTACGTCTGTACAAATTGGACAGAAGAAATTCTTATCTACCGGATATTGAAAACGTTCTTGTGGATAACCACCGACACAAGAAGCCATCGTTTTTCAAAAATTTGGAAGTTTTCATCACTGATTACTGAATGAAGTGAACGAATGAACTATATCTGATTCTATGGTCACAAGACCGGAAGCACATTTTATGATTCGCGCGAAAAAAAATCGCCAAATTAAAGTCGCGCGAATATAAAACCCCGCGAAATTTACACACGCGAAATTAAATATCCCGGTGTCCCAGGATTTTCGCCCCCCCTACATTTTCGCCCCCCGGGGGGCGAAATTCCTAGGAATATCGCCCCCCCAGGGGGGCGAAAATCCTAGGAATTTCGCCCCCCTTTAGGAAATTCGCCCCCCTTTAGAAACTTCACCTTTTCTTTAGGATTTTCGTCCTCCGTTCAAAATTTCGCCCTTCCTAACAGTTGCATGGGATAATTATTACATGGCTTTAATCATTTGAAATCAGTATCAATTCAAAATTGTTAAGACAGAGCTTGAAATAACAACCGATCACCGATCAATGATCGGCAAGGAATTGCTTATGCCGCTCGGCGGAAAAGCAGGGTTTCGGTTTCCAACCTGAAAAAAGCAGGGAAAGTCGCGACTGCCGATCACCATGATCGGGAACTTTGGGAACGTTATTTCAAGCCCTGCATGTAAGAATACAAATTTACAATTACATGTATCGAAAGGGCTTTACACAGTTACAGTAGATGAATACTCAATAGGACTTATGACGCTTCACAGCACACCATGCATATTTTGCATTTTTTTCAGTGTTAATCCTTAAACTCATTGTTAAAAATTAATCACCGTGGTGGTTATTGTAATTATTGGTATTGTTTTGCATCCACGTTTTGTCGTTATCGGAAAATGTATGGTTTGTCACTATTTTTTACTTGCATTATTTCAATATAGTTTGTAAACTCAGAAGCGAAGTGTAGAACTTGGCAATAGGCAATAATCCAATAATATACGTTTCAAAGAAGCAAAAAAGACAAGAAAGCTTTTAGTTTTGCAGAGTTACATTCTCAAATGTTTAAGGCATGCACTAATAAAATCAAAGTATCATGAAATTATTTCAATAAACCACACCACATATACAATGCAATTTTCTTTGCGGAAGTGAAGAATCAAGATTACATCACTGACACAGAAAGTTGACGATTCAACGGACAATAGTCAATACGCTTCCCAACAAATTCCATGGATTTTTTACTAATCCTATAGTTTATTGTTAGCAAGTGATTACTGTGGCGGCTATTGTTAACACTCGTATTGATAAAATTTGCAAGCGATTGTTTTTATAATATGTTATGTGAATGTAAACTGCCAGAAGAATACGACAACATGATTTTATGCGATCTCTGTGATGGTTCCACTTTAGATGTGTAGAATATGACACTAGTCTAAGTACCTCAAATTACTCGGTTATGCAGACTGCGCACACCACCAGCTGCTAAGAAGCCTAAAATGTGTATGTGATTTTGTCTCCTTGTAATAAATAAATAAATCACACAATAAATCTTTTCAACTTGCAATCGTTTGGTTTTTAGATCAAAAATTCAAAAATTATATGGGGGGGGCGAAATTCCTAAAGGGGGGCGATAGTCCTAGGAGATTCTCCCCCCAGGGGGGCGATATTCCTAGGAGATTCGCCCCGGGGGGGCGAATATCCTAGGAATATCGCCCCCCTTTTGAGAGGGGGGGCGAATCTCCTGGGGGGGCGAATCTCCTGTGACACCGGTCAAAAATTTAAAATTGACTTGTTAATTAAATCATAAATTTCCTAATAAATATGATCAACAACAACACGTATATCAACATAAATAACGCATTTTTTCATAATAATCTTTGTATTAATCTACAGAGCAAAATATCTCAACAATTTGTGAGGAGAGTCGACATCAGTGGACGTTGCACGAGGAACTCAAACTTCCTTGAACATCCCCTTTTTTGGAGTGCAACTGGCCAACGGACATTCTATTACCGTGCTGTCTCCTTATGGCTGTTTCCTTATGGAACGAACTTCCAGAGAACATTAAATGTAGTTCATCAGTTAACATTTTTAAACATAAATTACGTAAATATCTTTTAGGAAATTATTCATACTGGACATAGTAGCATTTGGCCTTCAACAATTTTCACATCCATACCAGTAATTAATTAGTTAGAATTTCAAGCTAGTATAAAGGCCATGTTACACGGTGCAATTTTTCTTGCAACTAGTGCAATGCAATTCTACTCTTGAGAGATGTTAATTAGTGAAATCAGTGAAGAATTTTCGATATGTTGAGAAAACATCAGCCGGCGGAGTGTAATGACCATTGAACTATAAATAAACTGGAAGGCTAATTCAGGGGGGGAAATTGAAGCCAGTGCATTTTAGTTTTTCTGAGTTATGAGCAGAAATACTCAACACTGAACGTTGGGCTATATATCAAATTGAAGCTATTGAAAAACGCTATTTGGTGTAGAAATTTCTAGACTTTAGCTAAAAGGGAAATGTTGAAAAACTACAAACATAATTACCGATAATTTGCCGTTTTGCAGTTGTTTTTGTATTTTTGAAATATTTTTCTTTTCGCCGAAGTCTTGAAATTTCCACATGCACCGAATAGAAATTTTCAATAGCTTCAATTTGATATATTGCCCGACGTTTGGGGTCAAGTATTTCTGCTCATAACTCAGAAAAACTATTTTGGCTTCATCAAATCATAGGCCTTCATCATAGCAGTTAGCCTTCCAGTTTATTTATAGTTCAATGGTAATGACTAATGAAGACTCGTATTTGGCAATTTTACATCTCTCAAGAGTAGAATTGCATTGCAAGTTGCAAGAAAAATTGCACCGTGTAACATGGCCGATTGATGCACAAACCAAGATGTCCAACAGCTGGAATGACTACGAAAACTGGTTCGAAACTTTACGAAATTTAACTACTAAGTTTTCTCGACGAATGCACATGACCAACTGCCGAAAACAAGATTTGTGCAAAACTTTACCTGTCCCAAATCGGAACTAGTTACTGCGTCATACTTAACCACTAATTGACTAAAAGGTTTCTGTTATTGTTCAATCGAGCTGAAAGCCGCTACATACTGTAAGGCTCCGGGAAGCAATCACTGAAGCAATTTATTATTATTTTGGCCAAACGCTCTCCTCCGCAGACGGCCACCTTAATAATTAAGTATTTTCAAATACCGTAACTTACACAACTTACACCCTGTATCTTATATCTTTAATAATCCAAAGTGCGGCTCTTTTTCACTAGAGAGATTTTTAATAGTGCTTGAGAACAGTTGGAATTTTGTTTCAAGTGCATTAGTAACTTGTTTTCACATTTATTTTATTTGTTTTTTGAACAGACAGTCAGACGATTTGTACTTGTTTACATCAGGGAGCTTAAGATGCACTAGCCTGCATGGCAGGCGGTATTTCTACGGGCAGCGAAAATTAGGGAAGCAAAGGTATTTCCTACGTACCGCCTGCCATGCAGGCTAAAGATGCACCAAACCCGCGCCTTCCCTCGCTTTTCCCTTTGCCGCCTGCGCTCCTTCGCCCAGCGGCTACGCTCGTGTTCCAAGATCCGCCATGTAAAGTGTAGTGAAATGTATTTCATCGTAATATTAAATCCTAAGAAAACTAAAGCCTCTGCGGAGGAGAGAGCACCAAACCTGCTACGCGGGCGCGATTAAAAAACAGTCTATATTATAATTGGAGACTAATTTTACTTTGTTTTTCAGGTGTCCCTGCGTGGTTTTGTTTACTAAAACAATTCGTAGTTTTTACCCGTGTAAAACTGTAATAATAGAGAGGTTAAGATACACCGGTTTCGGTGTACGTGTACGGGTAGCATGATTTTTGTTAGCAATATTTTCGTCGATGCACAGATACCTTTACTCGTAATTAAGGTGCACATTTTTCGCATTATACTATTGTCTATTGGAAGAAAACTGAAAAAGTATGATCGAATTACATACATCAGTAAAACAAGATGACACTACTCGTAAACCATAGAAATAATAGACATAGAATGCGTGCTCCTATCTCTTCTCAGTAAAAATTTTGTCTCCACAAAATTAGAAAATTAAACGAGACTTACCTGTAAGGTGAAGTTTGATTGAGATTCTACGAGTTATTGGTTAGGAGCGAAGGAGTCACGTGTGAGATAGCGCGGGAAGGATCGAGCGGCAGTCTTTAAAGGGAGTGCGAATGGTCATTGATATTTAGTACCCGCTGTAAAGCCGTAGGGCTGGGTAAAACCGTAGGGTGGGTCCGTGACTCCTTCGCTCCTAACCAATAACTCGTAGAATCTCAATCAAACTTCACCTTACAGGTAAGTCTCGTTTAATTTTCTAATTCTACTTCGTCATTGGTTAGTTCGCTACGGAGTCACGTGTGAGACTTTAAAGTAATGACCATGAGCACTGTAACTTTGCTTTAATAACACAATATCAACACGATACATGCTTAATCAAGGTTAACAATTTTTAAGAGTCTATGACCAAATTTTCTTTTTGATTACTTTCAATTGGTTTATGATGAAACTGGTTTATGTGGTTTCTGGTATAAACTCAAAAGTAGTTGTTTATATGAAAGGACCACATGTCATCACTATTAACCATCTGTTTAATGTTCAAGACCTGTATGGTCTGGCAACGCTGTCCAGTAACAAGGGCAAGCAGCATGGTTGTCTTCATAGTCAGATCTTGTAGAGAGAGTTGTGTATTTTCACCCAAAGATTTGAGATATTTTATAACCACAGACACATCCCAGATCTGTTTATAACGTGGTAGTGCTGGTCTATTTACAAATACTCCTTGTATATATCTGGTTACCAGTGGATGGTTTCCAAATGTGAAATTGTCTATTGGTTGGACAACGCTGGATAGAGCTGAGCGTACTGTGTTTAATGTGCTATAGGATAATCCTTCCTTGTAAAATTCATGTAGAAAATCAATTGCAGTCCCTACATTTGGAGAAATGGGATTGATACTTCGTTCACAACAGTGCTGTTCCCACTTTTGTAAATAGTATTTGTACTGTTTTTGAGTCCCCGGTCTCCATGCTTGTACGATGATTGAAACAGCTTCTTTTGAAATTCCTTTACTTTCAAGTGATCCCCCGATAAGTGGCACATCAGTAATCGCAACTTCTTTTGTAGAGGATGAATCTTCTGAGGATGGGATGGTAACATGCATCAGTGTTGTTTGTGTGCTAGGCAACATAAGGGGACAATTTATTAACATATTGGTTAGATATGGCCACCAAGATTGGGTCGGCCAGTGTGGAATTACTATTATGCCTGTTGCCTTCTCTTCTGAGATTTTTTGT